ATGCGTGTTATCAAGAATTATCTATTTTTTCATTTAATTTGATTACTTCTTTGATTTTGTTATATCATTATTTAATGAATATTGAGGAGTATCATTTATGTTGTAATATGTCGTTTGTGAAATATTTGATACTGTTAAAATCTTTTAGAAACAACTTCATCAAATTTGAATTTATTATTTTGTTGGTACGCGTTTCACTTAATTTTATATTTCCCCGCAAAGCAAAAATTTAAATTAACAGAATGGTCGTTTCATTACTTCGTTAAAATTGCTTCCGTATCCCGTCGCTAATGGAATTTCTCTTCAAGCAGATCGATTATTAACCATTAATAGGTCATACTTCCAGAGAGTTGATTGTGCTTCGAAATTTTCGTTTCCTCGTGTCTTTGATCACCCACTTTAATAAACGATTTATAAATAAAAAAATAAAAAATGAGACAAAATTTTCATTAATTTCTCGACAACAAATATATCTGATTAAATAATAATTAACAAAATTACGATTCTTCTTATCGATTCCATGTTATATGGTATAGTCTGATCATAAGCAGTCGTGACAACTGATTATTTATGAGTGACCTCATGCTATTCGTTTCGAACGATTTCTTCTAAACCATTGAAATGTCCAAGTGTTGGGAATATGGCTTGCACAGTACTTCTCGATTACGCAATTGATAAATACATGGCATCGATTTTCGCCAACAAGCTATTCAGATTGATTAAGAGCTTTTATGTAGGGCAACAGTTGCGATTGCTCGAAGTATTTTCCACGTATCAAGTAATTGGTTTTTATAGAAAAAAAATTAAATAGATGAAAAAAAATTCTATTTTTTAAGAGAAATATTCTTAATTTCCTGAAATTTCAATATTTCCTGAGCAATTAAATTATCACAAAACACACGATTTATATACTATATGTACTATATATATATATTATAATGTACATGTAGTACATATACAAAAACACAAACACAATTTCTGTTTTTCTCTTTTTTTGATGAAATGTAATAAAATTTCAATTTATAAGTTAGAAATATTTAATATTCTCAGAAGATAATAATTAATATTCATTCAGGATACTAATGATGATCGAAATTAAAAATTCTTGTTCTACATTCATTAAATAGTTGTTAAGTGACTAATACTATACAAGATGATTCATTGTCATGTTAATATCTCTTCTTTTCTGATATAATCATATAATATAATAACAAAAAAATTAGTAGAATATGAAATACAGATAAACAATACAGAAAACAACAGATAATAGTAAATCTTTTTACAATTCATTTTTCGATGTTAATTTTCGATATCAATTTTATTTTTTAATGAATATTTTTTTAATTACCTGATATATTAATGCAAACACAAGATAAATATAATGATTCAAGTATTCTCATTTTCTTCGAAGTTTTCGAAGAATATATAGAATATCTTTTATATATCTCTCATTATATATCTCTCATTAAGAGAATATTCATTCTTATATTCATCTTATATGTAGAATAAAAACTAAATATAATACGTTATTAAAATAATAATCATTAACTGGATTTATTCCAGAATTCATTTCCAACTAACAAATAACAACGAGTAAATAAAAATTGTTATAGGCATTTTAATGAGGTCCAACACGCAATTTGCAATTGTCTGACCATTATCAGGTCGTAACTACTACGCGAGCTTCGTCGCTTCGTCTGATATGATCGGTCTGCAGCCACTGACAATGGCCCGGCCTCTATTCCCTGTTCTTTTCACAGCCGCATCGATGTAGGTCATGGTAACATTATATTCACGGTTTTTTTTTCCCTTGCAGTGAATTGTTACCAGCTTTCCAGTCCTATTGCCATTTTCTTTTCCACCCATCCTAAAATTCTATCTTCCTTTCTCACTCTCTATCTCCTATTTACTTTTCTTCTCTCACCGCCATGTTCTTTTTTAGATTTAACTTTAATCTTTCCTTCTTGTGCCCATCCTTTGTGTTTTCTTTTCATACCTTTCCCTTTGCTATCTCTTTTTTCTAGTCTGCATTCCATTTTCTTTGTCATTTACTTCACATTTCTCGTTTCTCTACTGCTTTTCGAATCGTATTTTTTTATATTCTTCTTACTTTCTTTTATATTTCTTCAGGGTATTTTATTTTTTTCTGTCTAATTTAGTTGATGAAGAAGAGATAATTTTTCATTATGTCGCGAATTTAATTAGTTAAAAATGCATAAAATTATAAAAATTCAATCTTAGGTGAAAGAGAAAGATAATAACGACAACAAACCACAATTTAAAAAAAAAAGATTATAATGAAATTTTATTTTAACACAAAGTCCATCTTTTTTCTAGAAATGTTCTAATTTCTTTCTCCATTATGAAATACTCTTGCAGTAAGATTCGGATTCCTTATCATGATTTATTATTTCGTAGGATATTAATATCTAATATCCGAAAATACTAATTTCAAAGTATCTTTTTCATCATAATGGCAACCTAGCTCTATTCTTCGTTAAGAGTGCAATCTGGGAAACCAATCTATGAAATTTAGGTTAAAGTTTTTTTTAAGTTCGCGAACCAAAAATTGACAAGACTTAATTTCGGATACGATACTCCTTAAAGACCCATTATAAGTCGGTTGAATCATCAATCAGATCGTAGTTAAAAAAAATTATTCACGGTTCATAGATCCATTATTCGTAAAGATTGATTTCTTTTAAAGATGAGTCTAGTGGTTAAAATATTGTTCGTAGTTCGTAGTTCTTTCATTAAACACATCTGTCCATGATGTTGAAATTATTTGTACTTTGTATATTTTGTACATTTAACAGAATTCGCAAATGTTAATACCAATTTTAATCCCATTAAAAAATTTTCACTTAGTTAATATTGTTCCAAATTGTCGACTTTCCTTTCATAGAAAATATCTATTTGCTACGTGAAAGCAACTTTATAAATTAATAAAGTTACGAGTTTCGAGCACGTTGTATTGTGTCACGAACTTGTAAAATTTCCCTGTGATGGAATTTCCGAAGTTTCGTGGATGTACCAGAGGAGTTTAAAAGCTAGGTATTTATTTAGAAAATATAGCTGTAAATTGAAGTATACCCTCGTTTATAAGTCATCGTATACTTGATAAAGTTTGGATATATTATGAAATAAATAATATTAACGTATTAATTACTTATAATATAAAGAATATATAAATCATTCGTATTTTTTTAATGAATTTCATTTATTTTAAATAATATTAATAAATAAAAATTTCTTCATCAAGGATACATGGCAAATATAGACCCCCTTTTTTTGAAACATTATAATAATTATTCCAATAATTTGTGAAGGCACATTCAAGAACTTTTGAAGATAACGATGATTCTCAACGCAAAATCCTCAAGATCATAAAGAATCACACTAGAGGCGAATTTTTAACAATCCTCGAACATTACACCTACACTGACCATCATTCTTGATTTTCTTAAATTAATTAATTCATTTTCTCTGTTTCAGCGATCACTCGATAAGCAATCGCGTGGATCGACGGGGTCACCCAACGCACTGTGAGTGCGGCGAAGTGACAAGACCCTTATGACGACGCGAGGAAACGGCCGAGAGTGCCCTGGCCACGTCGCAATCTGACTTTTAGGCCTTGTCCCACTCACTTCCACACGTTCCGCCCTCGGCCGTTTCAACCCTCTTGAAAATCCTCCCTTTCCATCTATCCAACTCGCCATCCTTCCATCTATCGCACCTTGTATGTAACACACCTGATCCTATCCTTCCACTAGCATCCCTCACGACCTATATATACACGTATACATGTACAAAACGACACCGTGCAAGCACCGTGCAAGGAACGGAGCGAGCCAACAGGTATAGAGAGAGAGAAAAAGGAAACGATCTCTCGAAGATGGAATTTTTATTTTTAGTATTTTTAGTATAGAAGGTTAATTTGTGCTAGAGCACACGATTCTGAGATAGTAATTTGAGGTGATGGTGATAATAATTAGACATAAATTGAACTGAAGGAAGAGGAGTTTTGTAAAATGTGCACTCGATGAAGATTAATTTTTAATTCTTTAATTTTATTGGTTTTCTTTGTTTGATTTATTCTTGTATAAATAGTTTTTATGCGGATTTAATTTACTGTTTATTATTTTGAGAATTATTAGACTTCAATTTTCTTTTTAATTTTAAAAGTAGTTTTAGGAAGTACGTTGTTAATGATGATAGAAGTATTTGTAAGTAAAAGAGGGAATTTGATTTTGTGAGAATGATAATGATTAAAGATAGAATAGAGTTCGTCAGTCTCATCTCAGGAACAATATAAAATAGCTTGAAGGAGTCCTAAAGTGTCTTACTTAATTTTTACTAAAGGAGAAATGTTCCTCCTTCACTTCGGATTTGAACTCAAAAGAAGGATTGTATACTGTTCAAATGGAATGAAAGAGAATCGTGGAATGGTTTTTAGATACATTAGTAATTAAATAAAGTTCAAATAGATTTATAATATAAATAAATTATTGAATTCTTGTTTGTAATTTTTCAATAATTTACAACAATTAGCAATTGAAAAGAAAAAATTATATAATAGAAAATTTATCCACTATATAGAATGCCTTCTATAGATTTCCTGTTATTATTTTATCTCTATTTTTAGATATGATATATTAGAATATATATCGATGTCCAATCTTCCTTCAATTTCTCCCTCTAATGCAGAGCTAAAAAAGACAATAAAGAAAACGTACAGAAATTTCTGCATAATACTACATCACCTCAATAAGTATTAAATCAAAGCTCGAAAATATTGAATAGTCTAGGATAAAAAATAAATTTCTATTTTAGATAGTTTTCATTAAAAAAATATTTATTTCGAGTGCCATTTTACAAGTATCCCATTTTTTGGATCTTTTGTCGTATAAAATTGTAGTGTTGTTGCAAAAAAGAATATAATTTTTTATTATTAATTTTAATATTATTTTTTTATTACTTAATTAATATTTATTATTTCAATTTTTTTTTTGAATTTCAATATAAAGTAAAACAATCGATTAGTAATAGATATTAATTTAACGTTCATTAAACGATCATGCAATTATTTCGCACGTTTAATCATACGAAATGAAAATTTTCGTTAATTACCAAATGAAATTCGACAATACACGTGATGCATAACAATGAATATGTTTATCGAATAAATGCAACAACAATAAGGTTAATTTCTATTATCGATTTTGAATTTTTTTAGTTAAAAATTACATCTTTTTGTAATTAATACAGAGATACGTGTTTCGATAAAAAATAATAATAATAAACAATGTAAATAGTTTTATCGAGAAAGGAAAAATATTGAAAATATCGATGGATCGTTTCCTCGTAAAGAAAAAAAGAATAAAATCGATAAAGATAAATTATCCTGAAACTATTAAGTTAGGAGTTAGATAATGTAAAATGGCGATAGTTAAAATGCATAACTGCCCGGATAGTCGGACGAAAGAATAACGATCAAAAAGTTGATTGAAAATTATCATAAGATTTATTTTTTATTAAATCGGGAGAGACTGTTACCGGGCTACGATCGATGTAACTTAAAGGACCATTTTTAAGAAAGCTAAAAAACTTTTATCTTTCGCAAAACTTTGTTTCTACATCTATTTTAAATTTATATAAAATTTTGGAATTTTGGAATATGAAATTTCAGCAGAATAGGAGTCAGAATTGTGCATTTGAAATTTAAAAATATAATAAGTAAATATAATTTTATATAATTATAAAATTAAATTCATTATTTAATTTGTTGATTTTTAAATTTTAAAAGTTTTTCTATGTAAAAAATTTGCATAAGAAATTCTAATAACAATTTAATTTCAAAATTATTTATGCTTATAAGAAGATTATAGTAAAATATTAAAAAATCTGATAATTTATTTATTTAAAAATCATGAAAAAAATAATTTTAATTAAAAATGCACGTTTCATTGAAACAATAAAAAGAAGTGGAAAAGAAAAATGATTTGAAATTAGAAATTATATAATAAATTATAAATACACTTACGAAATTTATGACTATTTGAAAGATTCACTATTTATGCAACAGATCTGTAATTTGCTTAGGAAAAAGGGAGTACTACTTGTTGTAAAAAAATTCCTTGAAATTGCGAACTTACAAGGTAACTTCCGTAATTTAATAACTTCGAGTTTCTTGAAACTTTCGAGAAAACGTCGATAAAAGTATCAAGGAGTCTTATCTTATATGAAAAAGTAAAAAAATACATATTATCTATTAATGTTATCGTAAAAAAGAAAAGAAAGAAAATAATTCTTTCATTCTTTTACGAAGTTTTATATTTAGAAAAGAAAAAGAAAAAAAATTGTTTCATATTTTTATCAAATTTTATCAAATTTTTAAATTATAAAAATTCTTTTTTTAAAAATATTGTACTTCCGGATATCATATACTATAATTCACGCGATCATGCATGCAACTGTACAAAATGTTGCAAAAAAAAAAAAGAAATGTGTATCTCAAGCTTTTAAAGATTATAATCATTTGCATATTACGAGACGGTTCTCGTCTATTCGCGTGTGGACTTCTGCCAGAAGCAAGAGAAATCGGGGAAGTTTGTGGTTCTGGTAGAAATTGTCGATACCGCAACTCTCGATAGAGAGGAAGAAAAAAAGAGATCGTAGTTTCGTTACTCATGGCAATATCGATGATGAACAGATGAATCTGAATGCATTTTAATAGCAGTAAAACGTTTCATCGTGATGCGCCAATTACATTATGATTTGTAATACTGTACAAAGATTTATTGGTTTGAATTCGAAAATTCGAAATTCAAAAGGTATTTCCAATGAATATAATCGAATAATCGAAGAGATTATGCATGAATATATGTTCATGATACATTCACATGTGAGAGTTGAACATAAAGATGAAATTAAATTTAAAATATTTGAAGAAAATTAAAATAATACTTGTAGAAAATTAAAAAAAAAAAAAAGAATTCTAATTTAAACTTTTCAATTTATCATCTATCATGTACTTTTATTTATTATCTTCTTTTTCCTCATTTGTGTCGTCTTTTATTCCATTTTTAGACTTTATAATTCCTTCATTTTCTTCCATCTTTATCGAAGATCTTGGCAATCAGGAAAGTGATTTCCTGAATTATTTCGAATGAATAGAATCACGAATAAAGCCAAAAAGAATATAAAAGAACAGAAACGTTCGAGATATCGGCGATAATGAATATCGTAGAAAGATGTCGTCAAAGAGACTTATGACAGAATTGTATTAAAAAAATATATTTCTATAGATTGCAAATTTTCCTCGTGCCTGATTTAAATGTGATTTTGAATATATCGTGATAATAAGTGATAGTAACGGTCATAAATTTATAAATCTAATGCTGTACAATATATTCTGTACATTTCCTACACTCTTAACATGTTTTAAAAATGAAAAATAATATACACGTACATGTACACAGAATTAAAGTCTAACTAACTGGTAAACAGGAAAGGAAATTCTTTTTGAGAACAAAAGATAAGTTGGACGCGCGAAATGAAATTTATTCATGCGAGGCATTATTTTTAACACGTTAACATAACACGTTCCTGTTCTTGTGGATCATTAGTGCCTTAACACGTACCATTTGTACAATATGAATTACATTTCTTTCTTTTCTCGTACAAAGATTTATGAAAAATATTAATATTTAGAAATTTACTTAAAAAATCCTTTCTATTAAATTTTTTAAAATTTTCTAATATATTTTAAATGTTAAAAATATTCCTTTGAAACGTTAAAAATTCTTCAATCTGGGCCAACTTACGTATTCATCAAGGTTGTTTCCACGACACGAATTTTTTCACGAATTCTCGACCATCTCCACGCCCCGTTTCTCGAATATGTAAATGAGTCGTTTTTGTGGACAAAAATTTCCGCACACGTCCATTGGACGCGCGTGAATTAATGCGCGGACGCGTTCAGAAAATGGCTACGCAGCCATAGTCGGATTTTCGTTTTAAACCACCCACGTATCATCGTTGATGCAAAGTCGAAATTTAAACAATGATGTGTCTCGTGTTAAGCGAGGTGCTCTTTCCTCGCCAAGTTTCAAGTTGGAACGGAGCGTGACAAATTGTTCGTTACGATAGCATTTCGAATTTTGGATATCGAAAACTTCCGCTGAAGGTACACAAAGATGAGAATAAATTATTATTTATTGAATTTTTATCCATAAATCATTTGCACAATTCTGACTCTGATAAAACGATAAAAAGAAATTTCACATAAATTAAGTGAAAAACATTTTAAAATGGTACTTTAAATTCGTTTTCTTTTAAAATTGGTCATCGATTAGTTAATCTTTCATGGTCAAGTATATTTTTCGCATGTTCCGCGAAAAATTTTAATCTAATTTATATAAATAATAAAAATTCAAATCCAAGTTCTTAAAGGATTTTATAAAAATTCTTATTGAACTTGATACTGTATAATATATAATTATTCCGGTAAAATGTTTAGAAAATTTATCAGCAAAAATAAAAATAGATATTGGATTTTTTTTGAAGGGATTCGAAAATAAAATTTTGGTCCTAAGAAGAGTCAGAATATCGGAAAAATGGGACAAAAGTTAATCGATCGTTGCTAACGTAGACTTGACCGACAGCCAATTTATTTTCCTGCTATCAGGAGGTCATTATTCCGGGGAAATGCAAAAATATAAAGATAAAGGGGGCTAGAGGCGATAACGAACATTAAGAAGACCTCATTCTCGATATTTTTTGAGTATCGAAATTCGACAATGGATGAAATGAGGAGTTAAAAAAAAAAAAGGAATGAAAAAGGAATCAGAAATTGGTTTTATCCATTTCTTCTCCAAGATATTTAAATTCATTTACTGGAAATGATCTTTCAATAGAAGAATCGAATTAAGTTTTTTTTTTTAAAGTTCAATTTCAATCTATTATTCTTAATTAGATTAATTGATAATTAAATAATTTTGAATATATTGTAATTGAAATCTTCAACAAACAAAATTTTTCATAGATTTTTTTTTTAATCTTGGAATAGAAATTAATTAATAGATTGGAATAGAAATTAATTAATAGATTTGAAGTAATTGATTATTTTGCATTTTATATTTTATTTATATTTGAAACAACATAGGAAAGAAATATAATTTCGCAATTATATATAACATGTTATATAACATGAAATTTAAGGAATTGAATATATCGTACAATCATAATTTATAATGACTTGATACTATTAAATTGAAATATATTCAATACGATACAATATGAAATATTTGATAAAAATCGAAGTGTCCATGATATTATTCAAAAACAATTAATCAAGAAAATCTATACAGATTTATTTAATATTTATTTAACTTCCAATTAATTTCTAATATAAAATTACTGATTTTAATTCATAATTATAAAGAAATCAGATATTCATAAACGAAATAAATTGTGAAATATAACAATTAAATCTTTAAAAAATGTTGCTATTACATTTACAGAGAGATTTACGAATAAAAAAGAGGAACAAAAAGATAATTCCACCCGACGATCATTATCTTGAGTATGCCATTACGAGGTATGCAGTCGCGTGTAAAGTTTGCTGGTCGACTAGCAGGATGTAATTGTTACTATTACCGCCATTATGTAACATTAACGAATCATCCTTAACACGCGACAATATATTAAATTGGGGCGATCGTTTCGCCAAATCTTGGCGGAATTGGTGTGACTCTATATATACAAAAGGAAGGATATCGATTAATCGCAAAGATCTATAAGGATTTCGAATTGTGTTACAATTCAGATAAAATATTTCGTTTTCGCTTAGAAATTTCTATGTTTCTGTTAAGTTATGGAATGTAATTCTTTTAATTGAAAAATATATCGTACAAAATTTGCTTCCATTATAATATTATGTCAACGAAAGTAGTAATTC